AACACTAAGAGATGAGTACGAGGTTTAAGGATAAGAATAACGATCGAGTGGAGTATGCGACACGACGGTAGCTCGCAGTGCACGATGCCTACCCATATCATCTATTAGCTCGGCTGCAACTGTTCCATAACATAAAATGTCGGAGAAGTTGGAGGTTGGAGGTCAGCTTCACCACATGAAGCGGTTGTTCATTCAATTGATGGATGAGGGCGTCATACTCGTTGTTTCATCTGGAACTTTTGCGTTGACTAGGCAGCTCGTGTTGTCATGCCGACGAAAAATCAAAAGTATTGAGAGGGGGCGAACGTAATAATACTTATTCTTCCAATTATGATTTTCGGTTGGGGTTGTTTTAGGAAAGGGGCATCATTACGGCGTGAAAGGTAGAAAAAGACATTCAGGGATTCCATCCAAAGGCAGTAAAAGCAAAAATTGGGGTCGAGCCTGCCTGAGGAAGCTCGACACACCATGACAAAACCAACAAGGAGTCAGATCTCGTTAGGGGAGAAATGATTCAAAGACAATCGATACAACCGTCTTAGCTCGACGAGGTCGTCACGTAGAGGTAACTTTAGCCCGACCTCAGCTTGGGCAAGGAAAAAGCAACCAGAAGGAGGATGGTAGTAGGAATTTCCTTGAAGTACTGATGGGATGCAAGGAAGATCCAATATTTATAAGGATAGTCTCATTACTATTTATAAGGACTTTTTTATCTGCAAACCTCAGTTAGATCTCAATTCTCATCATTTCAAGCGTCTAAAAATTAACCGATTTAAGGCTAAAGTCCCGATATATGAAACCATATCCAACGACCTCCAAAAATCCTCAAATTTAATACACAACGTCAACAATATATTTAAGATCTTTAGTCAAAATATCTCAGCTAGATTAGATCTGTAACTCGTTCAACATAAAATAGTCATTTAGATCTAGATCTACAATTCTAGTTCACCTAGCTATGAACTCCAAAAATTCTTAAATTTAAACCTCAGCCTCAAGACATTATTAAATTATTTTAGAAACTTAAATCACATTTTTAGCACTTATACAACTCAATATTTAAAAAATCAGCCTTAAACATCACTAAATTTAGATCTTACATTATAACTCAAATTTTCTTGATTCTATATTTTTAAAATACTCTATAATTCATATCTAAGCCATAGGTGAGATTTTATATGGATCTACCTCCTTCGGAAGCTAAAATAAAAAATTAGGAAGTGGCTAAGGGTGGAGGAGGCTAGGTGCGGGTGCTAGGGCTGCTGGGCGCGCGGATCTTGGCCTGGGAGTGCTGAGAGCTGCAGATCTAGACACTGGGCGAGTTGCAGACCTGGAAGCTGCTGGGAGCTCGAGGGGCTGGACGCTGGGAAACGGGACGCCGTGTGGTGTTGGGGCGCGCTGGCTAGGGCTGGACGCAGGCTCGCCGGAGCTTGCTATAAGGTGGTTGAATTTCTTGGTGTGGTGGCTTATGACATTTGACTTAGAAAAACATTTGAGAGTGTTGGAAAAATGAAGACTAATGTGATGAAGACCCCTTTTTATAAAGCTAGGGTTTTGGGGACATGATGGTTGGGGGACATTTGGACTTATCCTAAGTTTGTTCCACATAGTACAATTTTGGTAGGTAGGAATTTAATGCTAGTTTGAAGGGAAGACTAGTCAAAACCCTAATGGCATAAGACTTGGGCTAATGTTTGGGCCTCATGAATTTATGAGGGACTTTGGCTCAAAAGCAAGAGTTGGACCTCATTATGAATGCATGTTGGGCTCGGCTTTAAGGGCGCGAGTTAGGCGCGACAATGGGCCGTGCGGATGAGGCTTGACGTGGGCTTGGGCCGAGACCCCTGCTCGACCGGGCTTCGGCTCATATAAAAATATATTTCTCGATTTTCTAACGCTCGGTTTGAAATTTAAAAAAAAAAAATGAAACCGGTACTTAGGCTAAACAAATTCGATTTCTGGAAATACAAATCCAACGGATCCTCCATGGCTTAAACTTAGAATTTATAAATCAATTTTAGAAGCTAAAAATAAATAAAACTTGCTATTTATGGAACTAAAGTCGAGCTCATAAATACAACTCCCTCCTATTTTTATTATTTTTTATTCTAGCTTAATTGATCATTTGTTAAATAAATATTGTTTTGGCTATTTTGTACATATTTTTCCATTATTATCCTCATCTAACTAATAAATACACTACGTCTTTTCATATTCACTCTCCATTTTTTCTCAAAACATCAATCTCTATTCTCATTAATGAGAGTTATTATTGACAAACAAAATATTCTTAATTATTGTGCAACTTCTCAAAACGACATTTATTAAAAATAGGAGGGAGTAAAAGAATTTCGGGTCGTTACAAAAGTGATAAGTAGTTAAAAGTATATGAGTGGATGAATAGTGAATTAAAATTGATATAATGTAGGAGATAGATGATTCGTATTATTTAATTATATTGGTAATATTAAAGATTGTAAGGTTGAATTAGATTTGAGTTAAAACGAGTAAGTCAAATTATCATAGATTTTGATCATTACAAATCACCTCCTATAAGTTGATTACACTACATTTTTTTTAGCACGTTGTTATTGAAAAAAGAACAAAAAATAAAGAGAGTATATTCATTTGAGATTTTAAGTAATATTCAAAAGACTTTTTGGAATTTGAGATTTTTTTAATATTTTTGGATTTAGGGTGTATTCAATTGAAATTTTAAGGCACAATTTAAAACTTTTTAAAATTTGAGATTCTTTAACATTTTCGGTTCTATTGTGGTGTGCCCTACCTCTCGCAAGTCGCAAACTCGTTCTCCTGCCGTAGACAGCCGCTTCAGGTCAGCCATTCATCATTCTTCAATTTCTAATTTGGCTCGACCGTTCATAGATTTTCGTTACTTCCTTTGGTTTCTTCAATTTGTTCGAATTTTCACTTCAATAGTCAGTCTGCTTCTTCAGTATGCAAGCTTTGTCTCATCTTTCCCATCCTACTAAATCCCGTATACATCTTTTCTAAATCGATTATACTGGATATATGTAGACATATTCTAATTGCCTGCAAATTTGGGAATTTCGAGTGGGTACAATTCGTTTCATTCACACCTAATCCCCAAATCTCAACCCACAGACGGCGGCGATGAAGCTGAAGCAGCTTGAAACCCTCCTCGGCTCCCTCCACCAATTCGAGTCCCCAAACGTGGAACTCGAGCAGTATCCAACTGGTCCCCACATCGCAGCCCGAATGCTGTACACTGCCGAGAACTCATTCGGTGACCTCGCAAACAGAACTGTGGCCGACCTGGGCTGTGGCTGCGGCACTTTGGGCCTGGCCGCGAGTCTCCTGGGGGCCCACCATGTCTTGGGCCTCGATATCGACCCAAATGCTATCCAAACAGCATCTGCCAATGCTGAGGAGCTCGAAATTGACATGGATTTTGTCCAGTGCAATGTTCTCAGCTGGCGGCCGCCTGTCCCGGGGTATGTGGACACTGTTGTGATGAACCCACCGTTTGGGACGAGAAGAAAAGGGGCTGATATGGAGTTTTTGGCTGTGGGTTTAAGGGTTGCCTCGCGTGCGGTTTATTCTTTGCACAAGACTTCGACTAGGGAGCATGTGAAGAGAAGGGGTTTGGGGGAGTTTGGGGCGAGTCGGGCTGAGGTGGTTTGTGAGCTGAGGTTTGATGTGCCGAGGATTTATAAGTTTCACAAGAAGAAGGAGGTCGATGTGGCTGTGGACTTGTGGCGGTTTGTGCCGTAGAGGGAAACTATCAGGTTACACTTTGTTTTGGATTTATAGAAATAGAATGGGTTGTTTTAAGTTTGAGAAAATTTTTGCAGGTTTGATTCTATGCCCATATGGATATATCTGACATGGAAAAATTACATGTCAAGTCTGGAATAATGGTTATGGTTTATGCTTTCCCAACCATTTTAAATATGAGTTACGGATTGTTATTGGATTTGTACACATAAAAAAAGTTCCTGAATCGTTCATTGCATTAACAAAAGATCTTTTCTTTGTTAGTAACAGTTATCTCGAGCAATTGACACAAGAAAGAGTTTGGATGACGCGGGCAAATCTTTTTGCTAATGAAGCTGGTGTCGGCTTTTGTTCAACGAGAATGAGGGCGTTGCTTGATTTTCTTTACATCTTTTTCCAAGTGTGGCATTAATTATTTTTTGTTTATGCATTTCTTATTTAGGTATTGTGTCTTAGATCATTATTGTCTAATAGGCTTGGTTGCTTATATGTCGCCCGTTTGTTTATAAATTATTTGGAATTATTTATTATTATTATTTTTTTTTTGTTATTATTATTATTATTTTTATTATTATTAAATGTCTAAATGTCATTAATTGTCTAAATGTCTATTATTATTGTTAATTAATTTTATGTGTGTATTATAAATATTGTCGGATTTATTTATTTAATTTTCCGGTCGTTGTCGTGTAATTTTATTTGATATTCCTCGTCAATCGGATCGATCGAAAATTCTTGGAATCGCATTGTTAATTATCGATCGGCCCAAAAGGATTAATTTTTCTAGCTCTTCAGTTATTAATTATGGCCCAATTGTTTTTGTTTTTATTTAGTCTTGGCCTAAATATTATGTAATTTCCCTTCATTCTTGGCCCATTTTCTTTAATCTTGGCCCAAGAAGAGTTTTAAGAGCAGCCCTTTTTCTTCTCCACGCGCCGACGGAGTCATCTTCTCCGCATCGCCAATTCGAATATTTGTTGCGATTTTGGCGAGGATTCTCTCTCGCACGTTCCTTCTTCTATCTGATCTTATATTTCGGGCCAAGGAGGTCTCTTCTCCTCGTAACCGTTCAAGAGATCCTCATCCCCTCCATCGCAGCATTCTCTTCGCTATAAAAATCTTCGCCATTATTTTCGGCGACCTGCAACTTGTCGCCGGCGTCCTCCCATCGCAGCGGCCACAACGTCCTGTCCTCCACCGACGAGCCTCAGTTCAGCCGACGTCCGCCCGCATCTTCCCGGTGAAGCAGGAATCAGCCCTTGTTCCGGCGTTTTCGTTCAGGACCATAATTCCGGCGAAACCTTCCACTTCCGGCAACTCCGTCCGTCGACGTCTGTCACTGACCAGTCGCCGTCCGTCGTCGAGTTCGCGAACAGCACCTTCGAGAAGTTCCGAGTGCCATTCGAGTTCCGTTCGATTCCCGTCCGCCGTCCCATTTTCCGATAGCTCGAAATTCCCGAAGACGGGTAACCTTTCGAAACCCTGTTTCGAGTTCGTATTCATTTTTCTCGCTGTATATTATCGTGCTCGCTCATCGCAATTCGTTGGATTCGATTCTTGTTGTTCGCTTGAATTTTAATATCGGACCGTAAGTTCATTCATGTGTTATGAATTGTGAATTAATCGTGGAATTATGGAACTCTCGTGCGTATAAATCGAGCTCTTTTATTTGCTTTGATAAATTCGTTTAAGGGCGGAGTTTCGTTGTTTCGAGCCTTTCCGTCGTTGTTGTTTGCTTTCAAGCCGTATGAGGTTGTTTCGGTTTTCGGTCCAAACTCGGTTTTTCTAAAATTCCGAAACTCTGATAAAAGTTATAACTTCTCGAACCCTGATTTGCCGTTGGAGGATTTTGTCGTCGAGTTTCCGACTAGTTTTGGCCGGCTCTGTTCGCTTTCATGTTGTCCTATGTCCAGTCTGTGTCTGTATATTTTTCTCAGTCCGTAGCTCAGGTTGGATATATGTCCTTTTAATATGTAATAGTTATTCTTTTCTTTTAAATACCGCAACCAGTCAGTTGGTCCAGTGGCGTGCGGCGCTCTCTCGCGTGAGTGTGGTCCTGAGTTCGAACTCCGACCCAAGCAGTCCTTTACATTTTTCGCAACCCAGGATAATTCTTTAGGCGCGCGGGCCGTTCGGCACGTCTCCAGCCCGCCATGAGTCAGCTTCTTGATGCGGATGTGGCAAGGCAACTCAAGAACGCGTCGAGCCGAGCCTATCATGCACGCAAGAGGCTAGCGCGGCAGGCGGGTGAAACACAAGCCATCAAGGCTATCGTGTGCGGGGCATGCGAAGTGGGTAAAGGGGAACCGGCTGAAGTGAGCGTGCGATTGGCGCACGGGTGAAATGCAACCGCGACGGGAGACGACGCGCGCGCAACAGGCACCTGGGATCGTGGCGCGAAGGGCGCGGCGAGTGGCGAAGACGCGGCGAGCACTGGAGACGCGCACGATAGGAACGCGGGCGCGCGCGAGGCGCCGGACGGACGAGCGCGCGCGATGAAAGGTCACGTGACCTTAGTCCTCGAGGACTAAGGCAAGGCGCGCGGGTCCGAGGCGACGAGTAGGGCGGCTAGGGTTTTCGACTTGGAGTGCAAGACAAGATCACTTTGGATTTTCTAGATATTTAGTTTCCTTCTTTGCATAAGATTTCTAGATTGTTTATGATACTTAATATTTTATTGCTTTATTAGAGTTATAGCTAGATTAGGAATAGATCTATTTGATGCCTATATAAAGGCCCTTCCTCTTGTTATTTTTCATCATTCAGAAATTAATACAAAATCCCGAACATTTGTTTAAACACTTTGCCTTAGATTTTTTCTTGATTTCTTTTGCAATTTTATTCGTTTCGAGGGGCGCGGGTGTGTGAACTCCGAGACACCTATCGTCGGTTCAAGGCACGAGTTTGTGGCTTATCGGCAATCGGGACACGCGATCTTCATCATTGGTGCTTTCATTGAGAGTATCTAGTGTCTTTTCCTTTCACATTCTTCTTCTTCCCCACCCTTTGTTTTCGTTCAAATTAAAAAAAAAAAAAAAATATCCAAAATCATCAAAACGAGTCCTAGAAGCAAGGAACGAAAACAAGAAAAGAAAGCCATGGCCAACAAAGAGATGAAGGACAAGATCGACAATCTTGACGTTCAAGTCCGAAGTATGAATGAAGCCATGGACACCCTGGCAGAGGAGCTAGACACGACCAAGGCATCGGTTCGTGATTTAATGGAAAACGTGAACCGGAGGTTCTACGAGATGATGCGCGGCTTCCAACACCATGCACGGCCACCACCGCGACCGCCGAGGCGCGAGCGAACCGAGGAAGAGGAACATCGGCACGACGAGGCCGAACACGAGGAGGACTTCGAGCATCGGTCACAAGCGTCCAATATCCATGACCGTCCAAGACTCGACAAACCGAGGCTCACGCTGTCCACCTTCACCGGCACCGATCCCGAGGCATGGCTCAACCGGGTCGTGCAATATTTGAGCTCAACGAGACTGAGGAAAATGACCGTGTGCGATATGCAGCCTATTACCTTGACGGCGAGGCCAACGTATGGTGGCAATGGCTCACGAGCGTTTACCGCAATCGGTAGCGATTCATCAGGTGGGGTGATTTCGAGCGCGAGTTACTCACGCGTTTCAGGACATCCGACTACCACAACTATGACGAGGCGCTCTCGCGCATACGTCAGACCGGCAGCCTGCGCGATTACCTGAAGGATTTCGAAAGGCTAGCATGCCGCGTAAGGGGCTGGCCTGAGACCGCATTGGTCGGGGCATTCATTGGCGGCCTCAAGTATGACTTAGCCGCGGAGGTTCAATTGGAGCGGCCCGACTCGATGCATGCGGCCATGGAGGTCGTCCGACCCTGCGACGATCACCTCGCCGCTACTCGGAGGGGACGGGCGGACACGCGTTTTCCCAAGCCGCGACGCACAACCAACATCGTACCGAGCATCCGGCCACCAAGCAGCACGCGACCACCGACCTCGGAGGTCAAACGATTGTCGCTCGAGGAGATGAGGCGCCGACGCGAGAAAGGACTATGCTTCAAGTGCGAGGAGAAGTTCACCCCAGGTCACCGATGCAGACAGGCGTTTGTGATTGACGTAATTGACTCGGATGAGGAGGAGCCCGAGATCGAGGAAGGCGGAGAAGAAATTGAGGTGCTCGAAGATGAAGCCGAGATCTCAATGCACGCAATGGCTAGTACTCGAGGGCCAAGAACAATGTGACTACCGACATGGGTCAAGGATCGACAAGTGGTCGTACTCGTGGATAATGGGTATTCGCACAATTTCATCAACACCACGTTATCCCAAAAGCTAAAATTGCCCACGACGACGATAGAGCCATTCGAGGTCCGAGTAGCCAATGTGAACGGCTAAAGTGCACCGAGTCCTACCGCAAGGTGCCAATCAAGTTCCAAGGAGTCACCATTAAGGCTGATCTCTACGCACTACCCTTGGTTGGACCCAACGTTGTGTTAGGAGTCCAGTGGCTCGAAGGATTGGGAGAAGTGACCACCAACTACAAAACCGGGGTCATGAAGTTCAAAGCAGGAGAACAGAGAAAGTCACATTGAAGGCCAGTGAGGCCGGTGGAACCAAGGAGGTTGGTCTCAAGAGCATAGAGCGGGTTTGGAGCGGGGGCGGCCAAATCTTTGCAGTTATGGTCGAGAACACGAGCGCACCCATAACTGATTACGACCTGCAGCAGGGCGAAGTGCGCAGGCTACTCGAGGAGTTCGACCAAGTACTAGGCGAGCCTAAGGGTTTACCGCCACACCGAGAATTTGACCACCGCATACCGTTAACCAATGAGCAGCATGCCGTGCATGTCCATCCATACCGATACGCATACTTCCAAAAGACGGAGATAAAAAGGCAAGTTGGTGAGATGCTTGAGTCCGGGCTCATTCAGCATAGCTCAAGCCCATTTTCATCACCAGTGCTACTAGCCAAGAAGAAAGATGGCACGTGGAGGTTCTGCACCGACTATCGAGCATTGAATGCCGCGACAATCAAGGATCGCTTCCCCATACCAAGTGTCGTCGACATGCTCGATGAGTTAGGAGGGTCTCGCTATTTCTCTAAACTCGACCTTAGGGCCGGGTACCATCAGATCCGACTCCACAAGGCTGATATTCCAAAGACGGCCTTCCGTACGCACCAAGGGCACTACGAGTATTTGGTGATGCCGTTTCGGCTGTGCAACGCCCCATCCTCTTTTCAGTTTGCCATGAATTCCATCTTCAAGGACCATCTGCGCAAGACTGGTCTGAATCTCTGGTTCGGAAATTATGGTAAAAGCGACATTTTGATCTACTCAAAGACATGGGTCGAGCATATTGGGCACTTACGTGTGGTACTCGAGATCTTGGAAGCCAACTCACTCCACATCAAGCCATCCAAGTGCTCGTTTGGGCAAGAGATGGTCGAGTATCTTGGTCATTTTATTTCTCATGATGGTGTGAAAGTCGACCCAAGGAAGATTGAGGCTATGGTCGACTGGCCTAAACCAACAAGCCTAATGCAGCTCCGCGGATTCCTAGAGCTCACGGGCTACTATCGGAAGTTCGT